CTAAATAAACTTGGTTTTGCAAAGGAAGTCTCTTTGGCAAATGCCTTTATAGATGTGTATCGTAAACGCGGAAGTGTATGCCATGCAATTTACATGAGTTTGGTTTGCAAATTGCAAGACATTTTATACGTTTGGGTTCATTTTTCTCACAGCTTACTTGACTATTGGATAAATTTAAGTTTTAAAATTAATGAAATGGTTAAATTAATCCTCAATACTCGTGCGGTTGAAATAAACGCATTGACTGTCCAGCAAGGGCCTACGGTAACACCCCGTCTAGAGCTCATAATTTGTTGATTCTTCCTTAAACCTAAAAGTGCCTCCATCAGAACACTCTGCTCAATTTTTTTCACCTGCAACCAAAGCTGTTATGAACAGTAACTCCTCCTTTAAAAATGCTCTGAAAATAAATAATCGAATTTTCAAAAAATTCCCGAAAATAAGTTAAGAAGATTAGCCACAATCTGAGATGTACCACCCACCCTATCCTACCAAAATATCAGCTCCCTGTCAAATCTATGCAGCTTAATATTATCGGAGAGGTGACATGTGTAGTAAGGTGCTTAGTGTCTCTTCCTCAAGACAATTTCTGCTTGTCTTTCTTGGAATCTTCATGTACCTTTGGGCTGTGGAAATGACAATGAAACACTCATGCCAATCAGTGCATTTGAAAGTACCATATATCATGAAGAAAAATGTGTAAGAAGAATTGCCATCTGCAAATTAATATATCCAATCTAGACTTTAATGGACTTTTTAAAAATCTGAGAAATTAAATTTGTAAGGATTAATAATCAATATAGCATGGCATAATATAGTCACCTATGCACGCAGATAGTCCTTCATAAGGTTTTGTAGGTCCTTTAACAATTAGTTTTAACAAACTCCCGTTATCAACATTAAGAAGACCAAACAATCTTAGCTCCCTTTCGCAGCTACGTGAAAAAACCAATGCTTGGAAAACTTTAACCACACCCTTATCAACTGCCTCCATTGTAAAAAAATATGAGATCGAAGCACCAGAACATTTGTACCATGCCCTCAAAACTCTCACAAGCCGCAGTTTGGCATTCTAAAAGAGAACGGAGAACATTATGTAGAGTTCAAACAATTAAACATTAATACAAAAAAAAAAACTACGATTAGTAAATTTTAATTATTTTTTCAATAAATTGGAAGAGGTATATGATATGTTCAAACCTTTTCCTTGTTGTACTCTCTCACAGCGAAAATGGCAAGAGCTATGGTATTGGGATTATCCATAGAATACGGAGCTACACGATGATTACCTGCTAATCCCTAAAGTAGTGTTACAAGCACACGCAATAAGACAATAATTGAGTTAGAATGCCAAGTAAGACCATAAAAGTGAATTGCATACATACATGTAACAAAAGTAGAAATCATTTACGCATTAGATGCAAAAGGTAATATCATACTTACACCGGGCCACTTAAAATATTCCAGATGCAGAACTGGCGGAGCTTTCTTATGGTGGTTACCAAAAAGAAAAGGATGGCGAGAGGAATAACCATAAGAAGGAGGCGGCTTTGAAATTGAAAACAAGACATCACGGTCAATATTGTAGTTGCTGACTACTGAGCTCCTAATTTGAAAGTCCCCAACCCTAACCATGTTTGCTACTGTTCTTCCTTTGCTGTGACAACATGAAGAGTATTTACTCCCCAACTTTCCAACCACAGACCGAATAGCTGTTGTCATATGCCTCTCCTCTTCTCCCAACTCTATCATGCAATGCTAGATGAATCCCAAAACCCTAACCCCCAAACCTAAATCAAATCAAATCAAATCAAATTATAATGATATGAATGCAATTGAAGCATAATAATAGGAAGCATATATATATCTCACTAAATCAGCAGAGCGAAAATCAACCAAATTGAATTCGTGATGAAATATACCTGACCTACTCTACCAAGACAGAGAAGGGTGGCTGAGAGTCGAGGCTTGCTATGAATTTCTCTCCTCTTCAATTCAACTTGGTCGGCTGTCAATAGTGGGATTGGGCTTGAGTGAGGGTCTCACTAGTTAATGGGCTTGGCCACACCGTGCTTTAAAACGTCATCGTGCATGTTCGACAATTCTTAGAAAACACTAGTCTTTTGATACTTGTCGACAAGGATTAGAAAACACTGCACAATAACTGAAATCACAAAAATTAAGACTAATAACTGAACCCTAAGCTGTGATTATTTACTTGGCCACGTCACCTTGAAAGCATTGGCTTATCGGAGAAGCCATTTTGGCTAAAATATATAGTCTGACTAGTGTAGTGTGTTAAACACACCTTGGGTAGAGAGAAGAAAAAGTACATATCGTGGGTTATTATAAAGAGTGAGAGACTTTGAGACACTAAGAGCATGTCGTCTGCTGCACCAAACCTGGGCAAAAGGCCCCCTTGGCAGCCCATTCTAGCTCCAGCGTGCAACAATGAGCCCGGGCAAATGGTGGGTTCCACTAGCCTGGGCAAGCCCACGAGCTAATCCTGTATGGGCTATTGCCCTCAAACTGCTGACGTCAGTGACTGATTTTCAAATTTTTTATCAGCCATTGACGTCAGCGCTGACCCACCAACCCACATAGCCCAACGGTTATAAGCCATGTGGCTTCTGCTGAAGCCTCTGATCAAAAAATCTTGCTCAATCCAACGACTGTCCAATTTTTAGCTTAAAAAAATTGAATAAAATATCAACAAAAAATTTAAAAATATCAAAAAATTCTGGAAATTTTTTCTATAAATACCTACCAATATTATTCACTTTTCATACCAAATCTTCATACAAATTCATCTCATTCCAATATTTTTCACTTTCCACACCAAATTTTCTACTACAAAATTTCATTTGTGCAAAAATACAAATGGCCTCTTCCATCGAAACCGGAGGGTCATGGACAAACGTTCGAAGAGGTCAAAATCTTGGCGATGAGGTAAAATTTTTTTTTTTGCCGTTTTATTCAATTTAATGTCATTTTTTTAAATATATATTTCTTGCATTTCCAATTTCCTTTAAAAAAAAAAGATTATTCAAGGGAAAACAAAAAAGAGGAAAACCATTACACATGGCTCCTCAAGTGAACAATGCCCGCAGTCGGTTCCAGTGGTGCGTTCCATGTCAGAAATAATGGCACTATTACGTCCTCCGAAGGAAAATACTCCCCTACGTCGTGATCCGGTGGAATCGCCTTCGCCAATGACGGAGTTGTCCTTGTATTCCATTATATCGGACTATGAGAACCAAGAATATTTCAATTGTATGATGAGTGAGTAGGTATTTCAATTGTATGATGAGTGAGATGCAAATTTTATAATAAATATGGACACGTGGCAACCGAAAATTTTATCCAAAAATTTTATTTGAAAATTTTATCCAAAAAATGTTATCTTAAATTTTTTTTGAGAATTTTATAATAAATAGTGACACGTGACAACCGAAAATATAATCTAAAAAGCTTATCAAAATTAATAGTTTAAGTATAAAAAAAATAGAAAATAAAGTAAAATGAATTGTATTTGCCTTAGACTTGCCCCAGACTTAGCCCTCATGGGTGGAACCACAAATGGCAAGGCTGACATTATTCACATAAATACTAGCAGCCCTTGCTTGCCCTTGCCCTAGACTTAGCCCTTATGGGTGGAGATGCTCTAAGAGCAGTTGGCACTTCTATAGAGATAGAAAGTAATAGGGCTAACAACAAAAGGTACCTTGCTGGTTTAGAGTCATTCTCGAATTGGACCCCATAGTATCAATTTTATTAATTTACGTCCTGACGTTTTGAACATCGTCCAATTTCATCATTCCGTTAAGTTGAACAGATGATCAATCGTTAACTGCTGACGTGGCACTCGTGGGACCCACCTCGAAAAAGCCCCAAACTGTCAGTCATCCTCAACTTCAGTTGGAGATCGAAGAGAAAGCCCCAAATTTGTCCTAAACCCTAACGTAAATCCTAAATTTCCATTTTAGCTTAGATGAGTTCTTATGAAAGATTTCCATTTTACCCGAGGGCAAAATTGTAAATTCATATTTAAATTAATTTAATAATTTAATTAGATAAATAAATCAAGGTCGGGGTCTTACATAGCTACCAACCTACCATGAGTGTGGGATAACCTTACCCTGTAAGACCATGATATCCCATTTCAACATTGCCGGCATGGGAGCAAGCAGACAAAATAGCCACATAAATAATTTACAAATTTATAAATAAACCCAATCATAGACATGTATTTATAAAAAAACCCAAGCACTATTTAAACATA